CCAGCCATTAATAGTGATAGTTTTTTCCTCACTAGAACAGTGTTCATAACTTTCTTTGTAGTAACGCCTAGGAATCCAGATTAACAGTTTCTTGTCATCAACCGCCATATCCAGCATCATTATTTATGCCAATTGCTTAAGCTAATACCACGTGAAACTAAACGCTCTTTAATTCGGATAATTTCAGAAAATTTGTGGTTAAAATTCAGCAATGAATAATAACCGTCCACCCGTATGATTCTTTTGAGAACTTGAGCTAGCAACTGAAAATCTGATTTGCTTGGCCTAACCAATACTTATGTATCTGCTCATCCTTTGACTCTATAGTTTTGTTGCTCTAAATCAGCCTCTTTAATCCGAATGACAAAAAACTAAAAAGGTCCACTTTCACTCTTAGGTGAAACTGCAGTAAAAATGTTAGACCGATAGCTCACATGACTTTTTGAGCGGATCTTGTCGAATAACTTTGCACAGGTAGCTTATACTTAGAACAAATTTGTCACCTAATTGAAATTGTAAAGGTGTATCAGTGTACTAAATTTGAAAGAAAAATCTATAAGAGTTAGGTATGTTTTGCTATCAAATAAAGTTTCTGTACTTTTAGTGCGAAGAAAAAGAAAGAAGGAAAAAAATTCAATCAAATTTTGAGATTTTATTCCTAGTGCATTTCTTAACGGATTGTCTTGAAATTTGGTATGTGAAGCAAGGTTCCAGTAGATGATATCCACCGAAAACATGTGATAGTTTGGATTATCACAGTCCGAGTTATAGAAGGTGGAAAATCGCTAAACTATCATTGCTGTTAATAATACACAGTGTATCCTGCAGGTTGTTTTGGCCGCACAACACACTACCGCTTGTCTTGATGTTTGTGCCTTTTTCACTATTCTTTCCAGGGGGTTGGTATTGCTGTTTTTTAGTGTAAAGCTACACAAGGGGCTACCTGCTCTTTGTCCAATAAGGAGAACCATGAAATGTAGTGTTGTACGCTCGTAAACTTACCCTTAACCCATTGGGAAGACCTTGCCAGAGGGAAAACGATTCCTCAAACTCATGTTATATTTTAAATTATGGTGAAATAATATAACTTCAAATTAAGTGGATATCTCATTTAAACAAATAAGATCTTAGGAGCAATTAAAATGGTGCTTAAAGAGATAACTTAAGCAGACATTCAGTGACATTTATTGATGGGAGTAATTACTTTATATCACTCTCTGTAGTATTTGTTGTAACTACTTATAGGACCATTAACCATGTTATTCATTAGTGCCGCAGTTATCATACACGTAAAAACATGGCTCCCTTAATAAATGTAATTGAATGTCTACTTGGGTAATCTAATCTCTATTCTTAAAGCATTTTTTCCATGTTAGAGAAGAGCATGTTGCAACAAAGAGTTGAAACTTAGGTAATTAATTTTACAACGAATTTATAGAAATAAAACTCTCCCCTCAGACAATGACATTTAAAAAGGAAGAATAAGTGAAAATATAAGTGGAAATTGTATTTTTTCATTGTTATTTTACAAGCGTAGATAACATTGTAGGATTGGAACTTATAATATTCTCCTGCTTTGCTTTTTGAGTTGAACAACATGTGATGAAGAACTCAGCAAAGAGATGAAAATATCGTCCCAACAAAGAAGCAATGCTTACTACTGTTTAACACGAGTGGAGTACGACTTGTTGCAGGTCTCCTTCTTGATTGTCCTGATGATCCAAACTGATACATATTCCTTTGTTTTCCAGTGCGATCAAGTACAAGGGATATCCCAAGACTAGAACTTCTAAATCCTCGATCTGAACACATCATAATGATGTCTGTGTATGAATACTTTGCGTCGAAAAGGATTGTTACATACTCTTAAAGATTTGAAATTTATAACAAACATTTTTAAAGGGGCAACATAAAGAAAAACAGCCTCGTTCAGCTGAACTGATAGATAGTGGATATAGTACATTGATAACTTA